TATATATACATTTTTTATTTCTAGTTTCAGTTGGTGACATTCCTCTAAGTTTTTTTTATGTGTGTATGTGTGTTTAACTCCTCAGTTTACATGCACAACATCCTTTGATCGGCTTGAAATGTATTCAGGTTAAATAATCCAAATGTATCATTTAGATCAGGGGTTCTCAAGCATTTTGAATCTGGGGACCCCTTACAAGGACAAAATTTTTCCAGGGACCCCCTCATAAACCCCAAACTGTTTTAAAAATAGTTTAATATCATTTTACCTCCCAAATGCCATGGGAATATTATCTTTTGTTTGGTTTAGTATGTTTGTTTTACTAGTGTATTGTGCCCCATATGCATTTTTTAAAAATAAAAATCAAATGAACAATTAATTGAAAACTTTTGAGGACCCCCAAGATACAGCTCGTGGACCCTATGGTTTAGATGGGCACAAAAATAATTAATTCGATCATGATGGACGTTTACATGTGCCAGACTTATTCAGTGTAGAAGTACTGACGTGCAGAGTTGTAAACTTTCCCGCCAAAAAACCCCCCCATAGGAGTTCTACTTGTGTGATCAACAAACGTTTTTTGTACTTCCTCCAGCTTTATGTATTTGTCTAAATAACTCTGTGTTCCTACACTTTTGACCATCAAAGGTTTTGATAACTTTGAGCTCTTTCAAAGTTTCTAATAGAAATGTACAGCTAACCAATCAATTTTGCTTCTCCGACATRTTAGCTTCTAGCTAGGCTGAAACACGTCAGGTTGACATTGGGCACACGTGCGCAGTCAGGCCAGGTTTCCACATCAATCAGCATAAASCACTCCTCTCATTTGGATTACAAGTTCATTCCGATCGAACCGAATCATTTCAGAATATTCTGATTGGGGTGTTTGCAAGATGCATTTTACGATTGCAGATGTCCATGTAAACGAGATGCAACATAGTGCAAAATTCACAGGATCGCAATCGCTAGACGTCATCGTTCCAAGCAGCAATGCATTTGTGGCCAAGTTGCCAAATGTTAGTACATTATCTTCAAATTGGCCGAGTTGTCAGTTTTGGGATTCCGAAGGTCAGCTGGGTGGTGATGATCTGAGCAGCAGTTTAAAAAAAATCACTTCTCCAGAAATTAGCCGTAGCTTGACACTGATGTACATCGC